CTCAGACTGTCAGACTAATGCTGGATTCTGTCTTAATGGTTTTATTCATTATGCAAGAGCTCCAGTTCAACTCATTTGACCAATCCTGTTCAGGAATGGTTTTTCCAGAGCCAATTATATGCAGGGAGTTTTTAAACAAATGGCTACTGTAACATTTCAAATAATCAAAGAGCAATGCAAATGTTTTTTTTTTTGTTACATATTTTATTGAGCACTAATGTTTCATAATTTGTTAAAATTTTATCCTTAATGTCTCTGAGATTGTTCTTACTTGGATCACGAGTGGAAAACTCCAAGCCTCAAGGACCTGCGACTTTTAGCTGACCTACAATATTCATCTTCACAGTGATGATTGATTTACCCAAGAATCTTTACAGTTGAAAATACAAGCTTACCTTCATCCTTACTGTTGAACTGGATAAAACTGAAAACCTGGAGTCAGTGTGGATCACTGCTGAAATGTAATACAATAAAAATAAATAAAGTTTAGTGGTGAAAAACAGTTTAAATGAATTCATTCGTTCATCTCTCACCTGCAGCTGGAATGAACTTGATTCAAAACTTCTGCTTCTGCTCTGTGTCTCTGAACTTCAGTCACCGTTATTTATGCCTGCAAATGTGATGATGTGTCACTTCACCTGATTATCAGAAATCTAAATCAAACATCACCTAATGAAGAAAACCAGTTTGGCTTCATCATTTTACAAACAAATACAAATATGGGATGCAGGATGCAGGATCTTGGCTGAGCGTGAAAAGCATTGGGACATCAGTGTAAGGAAGATATAAACAAACATTCATCACGACAGGCTTCCAAGAAATATTTGCTCTTTTCTCTCAGCTGTGGCATCAGGCCTTTAATTCAATGGACCAGCTTCTGTGTCCTGGTACCAGTCTGACCCAACTGTTTAAGCAATGTAAATAAACTGGGATAGTTTAGAAACTATTTATAAAAAGTTTTTAATTTGCCTAATGAGCCTCATCAGAATGTCTATTCAAGTTCAGGAATTTGACTGAACATTGTATTACCTTAAAGTTATGTTGTCAATATGTGAGATAAAATCTGATTTGCTGTATTTACACAAATTAGGTTAGTAAGACTGGAAAGTATTTATAGTTGCTATAACTAAAACCAATAACTAATAACCACCACTAGGGGCTCCAGTGCAAGAGCAAACAGAAGCGGGAATAGAGGACAACCCTGCTGAGTTCCTCTATGATTTGTAAAAGGTGGAGATTGAACACCATTAGTCACGGCACAGGCTGATGGGGAACTGTAAAATATCTTGATCAATTTCAAAAAATCACCCCCTATCCCAAATCTCTCCAAAACATACCATACCAACTTTATTTCTAAATCACTTTAAAACAACCACAGCTGATACAAAGTGCTGTACATTAAAACACAGTCTTGTGAAGGAGACTGGTCAACACATCGGTCATGGATGCATTTAAAATCCCCTCACAATACAATATATGGTGTGTGTACTGATGCAATATTTGACAAAAGTTTTGGGGAGAGAGTAGCCTCATATATATTTGGACCATATATGCAACCCATTAAAATGTGTTCTCAATAAAGATAACCTGAGATAAGAACATATCGGCCATCATTGTCGCTCATGGTTTTCTCCAATCTAAAGGGAAGGCTGCGATGGATTAGTATGGCAGCTCCACTACTCTTAAAGTTATGTGACGAGTAAAGGCCACCCAATTCCT